GCATTATTAAAATCAAAAGTTATGCTTGTTAACATTAGTTATTACACGGCTCTGTGGAATACTTGATTCTGATTGGTCAGTCGCGACATTCCGAGGTATGTTATCCCTCGATAACAACCGGTAAAAGCTGATAACACAGGCTCATCCGGGTAACTGAAGTCGGCGCCCTACTCTTGCTAGGAACGTTTTTTTTCTTGGTGGAAGCTTTGCGTTTGTTAAGCTAATAAAATATTAAAACTCGATTCAAAATGGTGTACAATTATTTCATTATGTCATCCTGGTATCGGGACACACTCTCTCGTTTCATACAAACGCAGCTGCTGCTGTTTTGCTACGATTGTTTTGTACGCTGTATTGGATTAGAAGAGAACTAACAAACTGGTAAGGTTTTTAAACATTTTCGTCTTAATTCTTTTATTGCCTTAATTATTTTTGTGGTGAAATGTTGTGTAATAAGTGGTTTGACTGCACCGTTTCCCTTAAAGGGTTAGTTCACCCAAAAATGAAAATTAGGCTGTGTTTTACTCACCCCCGAGGCATCCTAGGTGTATATGACTTTCTTCTTTCAGACGAATCCAGTCGGAGTTGTCTTTGATCTTTCAAGCTCTATCATTGCAGTCAGCGGGTGTTGCATTGCTTCAGTCCAAAATACCTGAAATAAAAAAGCGCCCTTCCATAAAGAAAAGTGTCTCACACGGCTCCGGGGGGTGAACAAAGGCCTTCTGTAGGGAATCGATGCGTTTTTGTAAGAAAAATATCCATATTCAAAACGTAATAATCACTTTAATTTCTGGAATTTTTAAACAAAGTGGCATCTATGGTAATCTTGTCAATGTTTCTTTCTTAAAATTCTGTTACTGTTTTAGTTCAAATTTATATTTCATTGTATGTTGTAACATATTTATCAGAGCACTGATGTCTAACTAAATATTTGAGCTAATTTGATTTTTCAGAGCTCTGTCATCACTGCTAAGTGCACAGTTCTTCATGGCCTTCCTTGCATTCTTAGAGAAGAAACCTGATTTTTAAAAAAACGTTTACAAGTAACGTTCTCTATAAATTTCATTATAAACTATGATTCCATTTTCATTTCTTTCTTTTTTTTAATCCAACATTTTGTTGAATGCAAGTTGTCATCATTACACTGTTCATTTTTTGTCTATGTTCCAGACAATATTTCAGTAACCATAATTCATCTCTGCTAGTTGTATGTAGACCTGATATTTTATGTACATTTGTGATTTTCATTTGTAATGTAACCAGTATTGTAATATTGATGTTCCTGTTTTTATTAGAGCTGTGATTGTGACACACCCAAGATTTCCATATTCTAGACAGAGCCATAGTCATGGATGAACTTGAAAACCTTCCAGGTGCCATGTGCCTAATTTTTGGGCTGATATATGCGCTAAATTTTGAGTTTTTCCTTTCCCTTGGACACAGATCTCTGAAACCAAAACTATGTAGACTTTAGTCTTTGCAACTTTACAGATCTTCTTTATGCACCAAGAGCTTGTAACACTCCAAAGAGAAAGGAAAAATTTAAATCGCATCATATGACCCCTTTAAAATGACGTCAACACAGAGTAACGCTGCGTGTTTCTAAGCATTTCAGGGGCCCTTTAAAGATCAAAATAAGCGCTGTAGATGCGAGATAGGTTGCTGGCTGCTGAGGTAAATAGACGCTCTCGGTCTTTCTCTTCTGTCTCTTTGCAATTGCTGTAGAAATGGTCGTTAATTCTTGATTTGGGTACGGCACAGACATGTTAACAGGTAATAAAATGATCAAAAAGTCATGGCAACAAACGACTTCCTAAGTCAGTTTAAGTTGAAACGACTTTCCCAATCAATTTGATTCAACTTAATTCATGATTTACTGTTGCTTATTGTAATTGTAGGCTTAGGCTACTTTTTTTCTATGAATTTTAATGAATATACAAATTAATTGGATTTATTTTTTGTTACAAAATTTTCATTTATTTATTTTTAACACCGCACCCCCAGCCCCCCCATTTTTTCTTGGGCTACACGCCAGAGGGTGCTGCAGCACCCCTACTTCCCGCGGTAATGATAGACACTGTTCAGGGTGAACCACAAAACAATTCATAAAATGGCAAAAATGTACAAGGAAACAATTTCCTTAAAGTATCCCAACATGGGATTATTGTTATTACCCAAAAGCCGTTCTAAAATATGACAAATATTTCCGTTAACATTTTTTAACTAGATATTTGAAATATAGCCCTTCTGACAACTTCGCCACATGTATCTAACGCCATACTGCCCATTCCTCAATCTAAATGAGGCATTATTTCCCACCTAGCAATGGGAAGTATATGATTGAAATCCATATTAACAAGTAACACTTCCTGAGGCAATACATACAGCTGGTAATGACATCACAGCAAAGATTTGTCATTCAAACAATATCAGCTGAAATTATGTGGCCACATAAAAATGATCTACTGCAAAACACCTGATCCCGCCGCGCTTCCACTACATGCAATCTACTTTATGACTCAATCCACATTTCCTGGATTTATTAAATTTGTAACATTTATTTATCATTTTGTTTTAGAAGTTCGTACATCTTACATTTTCTGCCCGTACCCGTAGCTTATATAAACAATTTCTTATTGCATAAGTAAGTACATTTACTTAGGTATTTAAACATTTCCTTTTAGAAGGGAGAGGGGAGGAAGAATTGTATAAATTTGTTAAATCATCTAAACCAACATGTATGTTAGACCCTATACCATCTAAGCTACTAAAAGAGGTCATAGATCCTCTTCTGAATATTATTAATTAGTCATTGTCATTCGGATATGTCCCAAAAAACTTTCAAACTGGCTGTTCTTAAGCCTCTCATTAAAAAACACACTCACACACACAACTTGATCCTAAAGAATTAGTTAATTACAGACCGATCTCAAATCTCCCTTTTCTGTCAAAAATACTAGAAAAGGTAGTATCCTCACAATTATATTCCTTCTTAGAGAAAAGTGGTATCTCTGAGGATTTCCAGTCAGACTAGAAAATAATATTGGCATTAGTGGAATTGCATTGGCATGGTTCAAATCGTACTTATCTGACCGCCATCAATTCATAGCAGTGAATGAAGAGGTATCATATCGATCACTAGTGCAGTATGGCTCAGTACTTGTGGCACTCCATACTGCACTAGTGATCGATAGCGATCGACTAGCCTTGTCTCCCCTTGGGAGATATCATCAGGAAACATGGTGTTAGCTTTCACTGTTATGCTGATGATACTCAGCTCTATATTTCTTTGCGGCCCGATGAAGCATACCAATTTGCAAATCTAACGGATGTATAGTTGATATAAAAAACTTGATGACTAGTAATTTCCTACTGCTACTGCTAAATTCTGAAAAAAAAAAAGAGGTGTTAATTATCAGAAACCTCTGCATGTAATAACCTAGAACACTGTCTAACACTTGAAAGTGAAAGTGAAGTGACATGTGGCCATGTAATAACCTAGAACACTGTCTAACACTTGATGGCTGCTCTGTTAATTCCTTGTCATCAGTTAGGAACCTAAGTGTGCTATTTGATAGCAATCTTTCCTTTGAAAACCATGTTTCTAGCATTTGTAAAACTGCATTTTTCCATCTTAAAAATATATCTAAATAATATACCAAAATTATGACCTATGCTCTCAATGTCAAATGCAGAAATGTTAATTCATGCGTTCATGACATCAAGATTAGATTATTGTAACGCTTTATTGGGTGGTTGCTCTGCGCGCTTAATAAACAAACTCCAGCTGGTCCAAAATGCAGCAGCTAGAGTTCTTACTAGAACCAGGAAGTATGACCATATTAGCCCGGTTCTGTCAACACTGCACTGGCTACCTATTGAACATCGTATAGATTTTAAAATCTTGCTAATTACTTATAAAGCCCTGAATGGTCTAGCACCTCAGTGCTTGAGCGAGCTCATATCACATTATAGTCCTTCACATCCGCTGCGATCTCAAAACTCTGGCCATTTGATAATACCTAGAATATCAAAATCAACTGCGGGCGGCAGATCCTTTTCCTATTTAGCTCACAAACTCTGGAATAACCTACCTAGCGTTGTTCAGGAGGCAGAGACACTCTGTCAGTTTAAATCTAAATTAAAGACCCATCTCTTTTACCTGGCATACACATAATACACTACCACATTTCTACAATTCAAATCCTTTAAAGGATTGTTAGGCTGCATTTATTAGGTCAACAGGAACCAGGAACACTTCCCATAACACCCGATGTACTCGCTACATCGTAAGAAGAATGGCATCTACGCTAATATTAGTCTGTTTTATTCTTATTCAGAGGTCACCGTATCCACCCAGATCCACATCAGATGGTGGATCAGCACCTAGAGACGACCTCTACAGCCAAGTCAAGTCACCTTTATTTATATAGCACTTTTAACAATACAGATTGTGTCAAAGCCTTGAATGTCAGTGGAGACCATGTCAACTAGATGAGCCCCAAAGACAGATCCCCTGCGAAGACCTCATCAAATAGACGACCATCGACACAAGACCACGAGAACCAAATGAGTCCTCCACAAAATTCTGTCGTCAGTTGCAGTCTGGATTTAAACACACCATGCTGGTTTCGTCTGGCAAGAGGCTGAGCCTGGTTTCTCTCAAGGTTTTTTCTCCATTTCTGTCACAGATGGTTCCTTGCCGCTGTCGCCTTTGGCTTGCTTAGTTGAGGACACTTAATTTCTGGCAATATTGTCGACTTGATTGCACAGATACTATTTAAACTGAACTGAGCTGGACGATGACGTCACTGAATCAATGATAATCTGATTTTAACTGAAAAATTGAGTGTATATACTGTCCTTGGATTGACACACTATTTTCTTGTTTAATACTGTAAAGCTGCTTTGACACAATCTGTATTGTATAAAGCACTATATAAATAAAGGTGACTTGACACCATTTAAGAATGAATCACTGGTCTAGGAGGGAACTGAATTGCCTCCCACATCCACTAGACGGAGACAAATGCATTTGGGTTCGATAGTACACATGACACAAGCACCATAGCAAACAACATATTTTGTGGTTATTATAGTTTTAATTTCAGAATTCATACGGTGTCTGTCTTGATAGAAAAAAAAAGTCAATACAAAGAGACAGCTTGATTTTAAAGTGCAATTATTGTTCATACAAATAAGTATGAAGTTGATCAAATTTCATCAATCCTGTAAGCATCTTGTGGAATTACAAATTACAATCGAGGGGGGGGGGGAACTCTCTAAACTATTTAAACCATAAGGGTGGGCGAGGGGTGGTATATTTTCAATGTAATCTCCTAAATTCATCTGCGACTAAGCTGCTTTTTAAAGGCCTTCAGGGACTTTGCCATCATGGGCGCCACTCCTGTGAACATACAAGACAAACACTTACAAAAAAACAAGCAAAATCACTGAGCAAAACAATTAGAGCATTTGGAAGCAACTCTTATAAAACATGTAATCTAATGATTTAAAATAAATACAAATTTTAATTAAAATAAAAACTGCTCTAGAATTGTATAAATAAAGCTGTAAATAAAATCTGATGTCAAACAGCTTTACCGTTACAGTGGTTTAACTGTTGGAAATGTGTGATAAAGGTCTCTCACTCAAATATGCAAACCAGATAAACTAGCAGATGCTAATATTGTGCTGTTTTGAGCTACTATTACAATTACAAATACTATAATTATTGGAATACAGATTGACAACTGCTGAGTAAAGTGTGGTATTTAGAGGCACAATTGATTACATGTGAAAACTCACTTTTAAACTTTCTGGGGTCTTGGGCTTGGCCAGAGTTGTTCATGGAGGGTTTTGAAGGCTCACTGAAGCCAGATCTTCCCCGATTCTCACTGGGTTTCACACTACTGTGGGGTGGAGTGATAGATTTTCTTTGAATGATATTTGTCTGCACAGTGACTATTCAGTGACAATGGAGGAGGAAAAACCCTTTGTTTTCAGTTCACTGAAATGGAGTTATATCAAGATCACTTATTTTCCACTCGCTAAAAAATGTCCAATGAACTATACTCATATGAAGGAATTTTCCATATTGATTTTTGACAAATGCATTGTGTTGCATTTTAGGGTTAAAAGGAAATGTCCGTAAATAGAAATGAAAAATTGCTGACAACGTGCTCATCCTCTGGCTATACAAGATGTAAATGAGTTTGTTTCTTCATCGAAACAGATTTGGAGAAATTTAGCATTACATCACTTGCTCACACTGGTGAGCAAGTGATGGAATGCTGCATTTCTCCAAATCTGTTCTGATGAAGAAACAAACCAATCTACATCTTAGATGGCCTGGGTAATTTTTTTGTTTTTGGGTAAACAATTACTATAACAAATGTCCCTGCAGAAAAGTACCTTTCCCATTTTTCTACTGATTTTTTTCTTACACTGCATGATGATATTTACTCAGTTGTTTTGTTAATTCTATAACTGTGATGCAAGTACACACAGCTGGCTCTTTCACCAAAAGGGCTGATTGTGGCCCTTCCAGCCTAATCTGGTCTGAACTGACCTGGGTCTGACTGTTGGGTGAGGTAGTGTCACGGGGCCGGCTGTGCCGTGAATCTCCTGTTGGATCCTCACATTTCTAGGTGGCTTAGCAGCTGAGTGGATAAACGCCATTTTCACCTGCCTACCTAAAAGAGAAAAACAAAAGCACAAAACAGTAAGTGCAACTTAGGCGTCAACAGAGTTTCAAAGCAAAGTGTGAGAGCGCAGTTAAAGCTGTTGGGGTGGTGGGAGAAAAAAAAACACTGACATTTTGGATTTGGATGGCAATAAAATCATAGATTAGTCCCTGTAAATGTAGAAATTTCCTTACATCCCCATGAGAAAAAACTACTGTCCAAATAGGGCTATATACAGCATTATATGGGGTAATATGTACTTCCACAAACATTTTTATATCAACGCCAAGGCTTTGTATTATGATGAAATATCTGCTATACACCTCTGTGTGAGGAGAAACTGTGAAATGGTATTGCCTAATTTTTGAGTCACTGTTTCTTGAATCTGCTTGGATTAAAGCTTAATGTTCCATTCAACCATTCAATTTAGAAAACACTGGACACAGTTATATTCTACATATTTCTTCTTCCAAATAAATAAATACATACACACATACATGGTTCAGATTTTAAAACGTCACGTTTGGTCTCGTGCTGTATCATGTACCTTGTCAGTTTCGTGCGCTTGCTTGGCCCTTTGTTGTGATAAACAGTAAAGCATGTCCAGCTGAATTCAATTTCAGTTTTGTCAGACGGGTATAGAAAAGGTTTGTCAGCAGCCCTTATGTGAAGACCGAAGAGTGTAAAGACCAGCGACTATACCTGTGCGACTCCACCGAGCAAGCATACCGACAAGGGACATAAGTATCATTTTATTCGTCCTCTTTCCTACAACTTGTTTCACTTCCGTTTCAGTTTTTATGACAGATGTTTTCCAATCTCTACTATAACTACCACTCACAAACCAGGCGTCACACACTGTAGGCAGCACAATCCTGACAACCTGCTAATTTTGCCTATGTCTGCTAATACACTACTTTCTTTTTCTATCAGTCTCTGGAATTGCCAGTCTGCGGTAAACAAAAAAACCCAAAAAAGCATCTATTTCTAGCCATTTAAGCCTAAACCTCATGGCCCTGACAGAGACCAGGATCAAACCAGAGGACACTGCTACACCTGCAGCCCTCTCCAATAATTTCTCATTTTCCCACTCCCCCCGTTTGACTGGAAGAGGTGGAGGTACTGGTAATCTCATTCAGTTACTATCACCCACCCTCTTAAAATCCATTTTGTAGTTGTTTATCGACCCCCAGGACCACTAGGTAACTTCTTGGAAGATTTAGATGTGTTGCTCTCAACCTTTCCTGAGGATGATACTCCTCTAGTTATGCTTGGAGACTTCAACATCCACCTAGATAAACCTCAGGCTGCAGACTTCCAGTTTCATCTTCGCTTCCTCCTCCTAAACAGTTCTCATCACTTGATAGTTGATACTAACAGTGCTACTGACACTCTCTGCTCCACTCTCTGAGGCAGAAGTCTCCGAACTAATCTTTTCCAATCATCCTACTACTTGTCCACTTGATCCTATTCCATCTCATCTCCTTCAAGCCATTTCTTCTGCAGTTGTACCTGCACTCACTCACATCATTAACACATCCCTTCACACTCGTGTTTTTCCCTCTGCATTTAAACAGGTTTGGATAACCCCACTAGAGACCAGTAACCCTTCTTCTTTTCATTGCAAAAACACTTGAACGAGTGATTAACCAAGTCTCACTGTGACTTCCTCACACAGAAAAACCTCCTGGACGGCAACCAGTCTGACTTCAAAAGTGGACATTCAACCGAAACTGCCTTGCTCTCGGTTGTTGAAGCCCTAAGACTGGCAAGAGCGGCTTCCAAATCTTCAATACTTATCTTGCTAAACCTTGGAGTTGTGATTGATGATCAGCTGAATTTCTCAGACCAAATTGATAAAACTACCCGGTTCTGCAGATTTGCTTTATACAACATTAGGAAGATCAGGCCCTTTCTTTCGGAACATGCTACACAACTCCTTGTTCAAGCTCTTGTTCTGTCCAGGCTGGACTATTGCAATACTCTCTTAGCAGGTCTTCCAGCCAATTCTAGCAAACCTCTACAACTAATCCAGAATGCGGCTGCAAGATTAGTCTTTACTAGCACTAACGTTCCCTATTCTATCTCCTTGCTTTACTTTTTATTTATTATAACAAAAAACCTTGCTACGTGTACTGCGTTAAGCTAACTGAGACTTGTCACAGCACTTACATATTATTGCCTTTCTGATTGCTTCTGTTGTCCTCATTTGTAAGTCGCTTTGGATAAAAGTGTCTGCTAAATGACTAAATGTAAATGTAAAATGTAAAACATTCTTTCCGGGAACTAAGCAACTGAAACACATTGAAAACACACAACTAGAAACTAACCGCATCATTTAAAATGACAAATAAAGTGTAAAGTGTTCAATATGGTAATCTACATTAAGGGCAAAGAGACTTTTACAGTTGGATGCATGTATATAGATCAAGAATAAAAAAGGAACACAGCTCTGAGTTTTCTGTTGAGTACATGAGCACAGTACATTCCACTTCCTGTCACTTCAGTAAAATTTTAATTCAACATCCAGTGAATATAAGCAGAATTAAGTCAAAATGCTAAAATCAATTGCAAGAAAACTGCACATCTATGCTAAAAATTATTTAGAAGGTTAAGCAGAGAATTAAATGAGCCAAAAATGAACATCTTGATGGTTAACGAAGTTGCACAAGAAGGTTTGAAGGCATTAGAATCCATCAGTATCCATCTACTCCAGTTCTGCCATTAACCCCAAAGTCAGTTGCGCTCTAAATCTATTCATAGTCTGAGCAGACAGATGGTTAGAGCCATATTACCACAGAGGACAACTGCATTTATGAGCCTTCAAGCTCAACTCACCAAACAAACAACTGCTCCCGCTCTGGAGAAACACTTAAAGATAAGGCTTACAGACTAGACTTACAAATCATCTCCCAATAGTCGGTCTAAAGTACTGCCTTAGACAGTAGAATTAGACATCAGCTGTCTATCTACTGTAGGAAGAAGCAACCTTAAAGCTGGAACCCAAATCGGCTGTACTACAAGCTAGCACTGGGCAGCATGACATTGTAGAGCAGTAGATATTTAATATAATTTATACCGGGCACATTGGGATATCAGTGGTCAGAGCTGCTTTGGGACATTAAAAGAATAGTTGACCCAAAAATGAAGATTTGCTGTCCCCCAGGACATCCAAGATGTAAATTAATTTGTATCTTCATTAGTGGTCGACCGATATATCGGCCGATATTTTTCGAGGCGGGACTTTTATTTTGACGGCGCTGAGAGTGGCAGTGCCTGAGCACACAGTGCTCACATTTTCCATCTTGTTCGCCGTCGTCGTTAACAGTTCTGTCTAATACGGATAGAAGTCTGTCTAATAAGCCGATAGAACTGTTAAACAAAGGAATTAAAATGTATACAAAAAGTATTATAACGATTGCTTTTATATTATTAGTAATATAAAAGGCAAACATTATAATACTTTCTCGTTTGCCGTCAGCATTCAGCAAATATGCATTTACATAATGTAAACAAATCTTTGGATGGCTAATGAAAATTTAATTTCACAAACCTTGCAAACTAAGTTGAATCCAGTTGTGAGATCTTGTGAAGTGTGCATGTGACCTGCATGTGCTCTATGCGTGACTTTCGGTCCGTGCAAATTGAATGCTTTAAACATTAAATTTGTGATTTCAAATTATGCTGCGCTTTATGCATTTGCCCACCGTCATAATCATGTCATTTTCACTGTGTGCTTTATGTAAAATGAGTGTTACCTTGGCTTTATTTGAAAAAATATGATTCCCAATGCACACAAACTACCCAGAATACTGAGTGCTCTGTTGGTTACAGTTTACTTCCTTTTTAATTATATTTTTATTTAATATTTATTTATTTGTGGAAAATACTTTGTCATCTAAAGTAGAAGTATGTTTATTTTACAAATTTATTTTTTAATCCATTTTCAAATGATTTCAAATTTCTTAAATATTAATTAAAATAAATACAATTATATCTGCTTTATATCGGCCACCCTGCTTTCCAAGATATCGGCATCGGCTGACAAAAAAACAATATCGGTCGACCACTAATCTTCATATGACAAAATTTAGCATTTATCATTACTTCACCAATGGATCTTCTGCAGTGAATGGGTGCCATCTGAATGAGAGTCCAAACAGCCTACAAAACATCACAATAGCCCACATGTAATCAGTTAACCTATTGTGAAGTGAAAAGCTGCTTTCACAATGATTTTTACTTTAAACCATTGCTTCCAGCTGAAATAGGAGTCCTCTGTCCATAATAGAGGGTGACATGGGATGGACTTTTTCACTGGATGAAGCATTATTATGGACTCGTATTTTGGCCAAAAGCAATGGTTTAAAGTTAAAATGCCTTAATGACGGATTTGTTTCTTACAAACACGCAGCTTTTGGTTTCACAAAAGATTAATTCATGGACTGGATGGTGTGGATTACTTGTGGATTATTGTAATGTTTTTAATCATCTGTTTGGACTCTCATTCTGACGGCATCCATTCACTGCAGAGCATCCATTGGTGAGTGAGTGATGTAATGCTACATTTCTCCAAATCTGTTCCCATGAAGGAACAAAATTTCAGCAAATTTTCATTTTTGGGTGAACTATTCTTTTAACATGTGCAAGTAAGAAACAAGGAGTAATGAGAAAATGCAGAGCACAGGCAAATCCAATTACCTTTGGGCTTCTTGGAGTGAGCGGAGACGATGCTCTTTGTGAGTTGCTTTAGTTTTCTCTCCCTCTCCTCTGACATGCGGCGGTACATCTCTCTCCAGGATTCATACTCCTCCAGCCAGGAATTTCTGAAGTCTTTCTGGCAGTGTCTCTCCCACAGGTGGTCCGTCGCCCCAATGTACACCTGTGTCAGAAATATAAAATGTACTCTAAATGTTTCAAACATATGACTGGTAGATTAGATCCATATCTAGATGGCACACACTGTTTCCAGCATTCTCACTATTAAAGACAAGAGTTAACTTCTTACTGGATTATATTCCTCAATCCGGAGGAGCTGTTCAGGCGTGCAGCACTCTAGTACTGGTTCCAAAATTTCAAATGGCACCCCTCCAATTTCATACAGAGCTGCAAAACAGCCAATGTCTTCAAAACCAAGTATAATGTTGAGAGCAAAACCATAATGTCAGGAAACGTACAGTCAATGTTGTTCTGCAGCGTTCGAATGCATTGCTGGTACAGCGTCATCATGGTTGGCAGGTACGTGATCTTACTTCCAGAGTACACTTGCATCTTATTATTCAGCCTTTGTCCAATGAAGACCGGGGCCTCTTCACAGACATCAATGACCTTTCTATCCACTAGGAAAATAAATAAATAAGTTAATGAGAGAATTTCTAATATAGCAATGTCCAGCTTTAAAAACAAGCTTTTGGCTACGTTTGAGAACATATGAAAATACCCAGTAGATGCAAAGCTTTGACCCACCTTTCATTTCACTGAAGTACTGATACTGAGAAACGTCCTCGCATTCGGGAAAAATGGTTGGCAAAGGAACGTTTAGCAAGTCCATCACTGACCGCTCAGGAACCTGCAGTTCACTCAAAAAAAAAAATCTGTTATCATTTACTCAATTTCACATCTTTTAAACCTGTATGACTTTGTCTTCAATGAAATACAACAGGTACATTTTTGATTTATTAGCCACTCTTTTATATATGATGAAAATCTATATAAATCTATAAAGTCCCAAAATCTCAAATCAAAAATAACAACATTAGGGCATGTGTCAGGTTTGATATCAACAACATTAAACGTCATTGGTTACTCTGTTTGTTGACTCGATCTGAAAGCTACAGCAGAGGGTAAGATTCTCACTGAATTTCAATGGACTAAAGAACATCATACAGATTTTGAACTACATTTTCATTTGGGAAACTACAACAAGCAACACGATGCAGGTTTTGGAGTACCGTTGTCATTGGGTCTTCTGTCACTGCCTTGCTTGTTTTCACAAGAGACACACAAGAGTTCTCTTTGTGGGCAGTTTTAAGTCTCTTCGGATTCTTAGCAACACTGAAGGATTTTTTGCGTTTGGGAGGCTCAAGGTCATAGCTCAGGTAGGCCTCAAAGGACATGGAAGGTGTTTCACAGCCATCCTCAGCCTGTTTGACAGTCTCCATTTTTACTAATTTGTCTTTGGCCTTCTCAGTCTTTTCTTTCTTGCATGCATCTCCACTCTTCTCTCGCTGCTTTTGCATTGCTTCAGGTCTTTTCAAAGATTTTTCAAGTTTCGTATTCTTTTTTTTTCTTATGCCAGAAACCTTTGCAGTCTTTTTGCTTTCATGTTTTGCATGCTCGCCAGTTGTCGTTTCCTTGCCGTGACCAGAGCTGTGACTCCATGAGCCCTGATTTACACTTGAATCTTTTTTTGGCTCATCCTTTTTTTCACCTTTCAAGTCGATTTTGGATTTACTGGGCTTGATTTTGCATTTAATGTCAACATTCTCTGACATTTTCTTTTCAGTACTGGTATTCTCCATTTTTGGCTTCTTTCTAGAATTGGTAGTCTCTGAAAGCTGGCTGTTTTCATGTTTACTCCTTTCTTGAACTTCTTTATGAAGCTGTTCATTTTGGGTTAGGCAGTCATCAGGCTTTCCCCCAATCGAACTGCAATTAAAAAAAAAAAGTGGAGACTAGGAGTACAGTATGAAAAAGATAATATCTCAAATGCAAATAAAAATAAATTTGTTTTCAATCACAGATTTGTAGGACCAGATGATACCTTGCAGAGTCTTTTGGAACAAGCGTTTTCCATCGATTCACCAATATTTTTGCCACCTTTCCAGCCTCATCATGTTTCCGAATGGAGTTGACGACTTTTCCAATTCCTGTTTCCTACAAACAAAATATGAATATTGAAGGCTCGAGAGGAAAATATTTCACTAAGTATAACTGAAAATTTTTTTTTTTTTTAATTACAACAATCTCTTACAGTGAGAATTTCAAGTGTAATGTCCAATACTTCAAGTTTCTTCAAGATTTTCAGCAGCTGAAACAGAACAGGTTCAATTAAATAATCGAAGCCAAATAAATAATTTGCTTGTTACCAGGTTTGGGCAAAAACTGCCTCTTTGTTGAAATGGAACTACAATACAAGGAAAAATTTACTGAATTCAGTATCGTCAAAACAACTGAAGCAATCATCCAAGCACAAATTGCTGTGGTTGCAGGCGTTTCAACAAAATTGGCAAGTACATAACTCGTTAGAACTTCTGTTTAAGATTACCATCTTGCAAACCTGCTTCATGTTGTTTGGTTCCACTTTGTAAACTTAGTAAATTAGAGCACTCTAGGAAATGAAGTGTTATTCCACCACGGTCCATAAAATGAAAGTTAAAGACATGTATGTAGAATCAAATACAAATTTCTGTAGATGCCATTTCAAACATTGATTAATATGATCTAATGTTACTGAAAATACCCCATATGTTGTGGGTATCACATATAGAACAGAATTATAAATCTTCATGCCCCACCCATTTCCACGTGGCTGTTTAGAAATGTGAATTTGCTGAGCGAGCGCACTGGTCAGGCTCTATGTATAGGGAAACCTCAGCTGAGGTACTATAAATGGGCAATAAAATGACAACCACCCACCGGTTGTAAAATACAAGATACTGTGCGTGTGCAGTAGAGGTTAATGCATTGTGCAGTCACATCAAACAAAATAGTACTTTAATACTGCACTACAAATTCACCAACACATTGCATGTTAAGTTTAATCAACTGCCACATTGCCCCTTCACGGCCTAAACTGACAGACAGCCAACATGAGACAACTGCAGTGTTATTTTTAGAAAACCCCCCTCTCAAGTGCCTACCCCCCCAACACCTCCCGCCTTCCTGTCAACAGCTGCTGACATACTACATTTTCTATTCACAGTACACCATCTTTTTTTTTTCTGTGTAAAGAGTATAAATAAATACATATCAAACCATTAATTTAAATTCAACTTTAGGCTTAAGTAGGGGAGACCGGGGCTAGTTGTCACACTTATATTACCAATCTTATAGGTTATTTAATGGCTTTTCGGTGAAATTTAAACAGTTAAACAATTATAAACAATTATATTTTAAAAAAAGAATGCATCTGATTACTTAACACAGTTCAACCTTTCAGTTAAAAATGTTTATTATTTAGTTGACTATTGTTTGAATGTAGCCTATGTGTTCGCCTGCTACCAGTTACTTAAAAACATGCTTAAGTTTTGTCTGGGTGACAGAATTCACAAAAGTCTTATTTTAAGTTGTTTAATAACTTCTATTCACAGTACACCATCTTTTTTTTTTCTGTGTAAAGAGTATAAATAAATACATATCAAACCATTAATTTAAATTCAACTTTAGGCTTAAGTAGGGGAGACCGGGGCTAGTTGTCACACTTATATTACCAATCTTATAGGTTATTTAATGGCTTTTCGGTGAAATTTAAACAGTTAAACAATTATAAACAATTATATTTTAAAAAAAGAATGCATCTGATTACTTAACACAGTTCAACCTTTCAGTTAAAAATGTTTATTATTTAGTTGACTATTGTTTGAATGTAGCCTATGTGTTCGCCTGCTACCAGTTACTTAAAAACATGCTTAAGTTTTGTCTGGGTGACAGAATTCACAAGTCTTATTTTAAGTTGTTTAATAAGGTTCTTGCCAGAGAAAACGTCTATGCAACTGGACGTTTGACTTAAAGCTTAAAGTCACTGTGTTAATCCTTGGGTTATCTCGCGCCTGCGGTTTTATCTTTTAGCCTGTTCACATTATGTGTGTAAAACGATACCAAACTTTTTTGTTGTTGACCATTACACAGCGATAGACGGCGTCCTACCGTGTGTCCTTCACAGGATTCTTTCAGCTGATGTTTTAATTGCAAAACCTTTTTCACATCAGCTGCGGCCATGTCACCTCCTCACATGCGCCTGTCCTGCACTTACTGAAGTCTCGCCATATTTGTTTTTTCCCCGTCACCTTTATATGGGCGGAGACGATATAAGAAGGTGTTTTACTTTTACCTTGTCGGAAAGGTCTTCTCAGAATCATTTCACACAAGCTGTTTGACAAATGAAGACTCATCGCAGGGCGTGCAATCTCAAACACTCCACAAAAGCAAGCAGTCGCACTTTTGAACACTGATGCCTGAATGTAAGCAATTAGTTACAACTTTGATCAAATCTGCAGCACAATGAAAAGACAAAACGCATATCCTACTGACTGCGTTTAATTGTTAATCTATGTAGCCTCCGACAGATGCTGGTCAGATGCGTCTGCTTGTGTAGAGCCGTCATGGCTGCTATAAGTCCATTATACCTGACCATTCGGAATCCCAGTTTAAAATGTTGCTTTTTATCATGTAATTTTTAATGTGATATTGGAATTAGTTTAGTTTAATAATTTAAATTGGAAAATTTTATATAGTAGGCCTAGTTTTAACGAATAACGTAAGTGAAGTAAAAAAAAAAAAAGAAACAAAAGGAAAGGATAGCCTATAAGGTAGGCTAACATGATCTAGAAAACGTCACTTGTGTTTTTTTAAGGATTTCAGGATGCTTTATATAACTGCAGTAAGTTTTTTTTAAACCTTTATTTTTAAGAGTGTGGAGACGCCTGAGTTCATGAACTGCAGTTCAGTTCATCTGTATACACTCGTCCTGTGTGCCTTTTTCCTTCATGTGTTTTCATGGTTGTCTTACCCGCATGACAGAATCAGACTACATCAAAAGCGGTTCACGCCAAACTGGTAGTTTAATTATGACCTATTGGTGAAATAACGGAGCACCACGTACCACACTGTTTGCGCAATCACCTCTTCTACTATAGTTCGAGCAGGAGAGAGGAGGAGTTAATCGGCTCTATTCGGACCTCTTACGTTCCTCTGTCTCTTCTGCACACCAATTTAGAGGTGCAAGTCTGTCCTTCTCCTCCGCCTACTTCATCTCGACATCGGTAAGCGCGTTATACTTGTCTTTACACACACAAAAAAAGTGTTCGGTGGTTCATTACAGCACCTTAGTTTAACAAAAACTTCAGGTCACTGTATTGGGTTCTGTTTTTGCCTAAGTATAAATGAAAGTTGTTAGTGGACTTAAATGAGACTTGTTAGTGGAAAAAGTTTCTTATGTTTTATCAGGCTGTAGCCTACGTTTTGTTCTGACTGAAGCCTCTTTTCAAACAAACTATATCTATATATGTATGTGTGTGTGTGTGTGTGTGTGTGTGAGAGAGAGAGAGAGCGTGGTACAAAGACAGACCCTAGTAGTATGAATTTGTTTACTGTAACATTTTAACAAAATAATATTTCCCTACAAATTAAGTTATATGTTTTAGTTCTGAAATACTGAAAGGACAGATGGGTTTAAATGACTTGGGGTCTATAAAAGGAACCTTGGAGCAATGGTACACTGCCTTTCTATTCTTGGCCTAGTTGTGATAACTTGTGACAGATGCAAAGAGGGGAATGCCGAGGTGATATGCTGCGATAACAACTCTTAAGTGTTTATTTTATTTATTTTAAAGGGTATTATTATAAAGCTTTGCACTTCTGAGATTACTTTTTTATTTTTTTTATTTTTTTTGCTTGTTAGAGTGACCCTAAAAGTTAAGCAACACCACACGTGGTTTTGAAATATGAGAAAAGACTGCGTCACTACACTACAGACTTAAGAGGACTGGTTCAGTCTGAGCATGTGTTGTTTTGTTGCTGAAAACACTTGTGAAATGTTATGCTAATTTGCTAAATTAATGATACATAGAGCATTGTAAAATGAAAGATTTCTTGCTCGGTATTAAAATGTTGCATACATTGTTTTAGAGCCGGACAGCAACCACTATACACATTTAGGGGAACCTGCCATTTTTATATGGTCATTTTTTATGTTTTTTCAAGAATATATTTTATATATATATATATATATAAATGATGGTCACTAATAGATATACATCGTTACAATCATATGTTGAACTTTAAGTTTTAGATCTTTCAATTGGTGTATATTTTGTCAAGATTTAATAAGTTTGTTAATGTAAGCTGTCAATGATTGTAAATGTAGAAAGCAGTCGCCTCCCACATATTAATTAACAGGTCAAGAGTATAAGATTTGTTCAGATTTGTCTGTACACACTCATAATGTATTCATATTTTGTCAAAATTCCTTTTAGGTCTTGGCTGTGACCCAACATTACAGTCATGGCACCCAAAAAGAACAAGGCCGCTAAGAAGAACAAAGCTGACATAAATGAGATAACAATTCTGGTAGAGGACAGTTCCACCAACAAAATCAATGGGCTCAACACTCTCCTGGAAGGGGGAAATGGTTTTAGTTGTATCTCAACAGAGGTCACTGACCCCGTCTATGCACCCAACCTCTTGGAGGGTCTTGGCCACATGAGGCAAGACAGCTTCCTCTGTGATCTGACTGTAGCAACCAAGTCCAAATCCTTTGACGTTCACAAGGTTGTGATGGCTTCCTGCAGTGAGTACATCCAAAACATGCTCAGGAAGGATCCAGCCCTCAAGAAGATTGAGCTCAGTGATTTGTCCCCAGTCGGTCTGGCTACAGTCATCACATACACCTATTCTGGAAAACTGACCCTGTCTTTGTACACCATTGGTAGCACGATATCAGCAGCCATGCTGTTGCAGATCCATTCTCTGGTGAAGATGTGCAGCGAGTTCTTGATGCGGGAGATCAGCGTGGAGAACTGCATGTATGTTGTCAACATCGCCGACACGTACAGTCTGAAAGAGACGAAAGAGGCTGCGCAGAAGTTCATGCGGGAGAACTTCATCGAGTTCTCCGAAATGGAACAGTTCTTAAAGCTCACCTACGAGCAGATCAGCGAATTTCTCACAGATGACTCGCTCCAGTTGCCCTCTGAGCTCACAACTTTTCAGATCGCAATGAAGTGGTTAGACTTCGATGAGAAGAGGTTGAAGTATGCTCCTGATCTGCTGTGCAACATCCGCTTTGGAACCATCTCACCCCAGGACCTTGTTAGTCACGTGCAGATCGTTCCCAGGATGATGCAAGATGCTGAGTGCCACCGTCTGTTGGTCGATGCCATGAATTATCACCTGCTGCCATTCCAGCAGAACATCCTGCAATCCAGAAGAACCAAGGTCCGTGGAGGCCAACGAGTGCTGCTCACGGTGGGAGGCCGGCCTGCCCTAACCGAAAAATCTCTCAGCAAGGACATTCTCTACAGAGATGAGGATAGTGTCTGGAACAAGCTGACGGAGATGCCCGCGAAGAGCTTCAATCAGTGTGTGGCTGTTTTGGATGGCTTCCTTTACGTAGCTGGTGGTGAAGACCAGAATGATGCTAGGAACCAAGCAAAACATGCCGTCAGCAATTTTATCAGGTAAGATCCGATGTCCTTACTTTAAAAGGATAGTTCACCAAAAAAAAAATGAAAATTTGCTGTTAATTTACTCACCCTCAGGCCATTGAAGATGTAGGTAACTTGTTTCTTCAGTAGAACAGTAAAGAAGAGTTTTAGGTGAAACTGTTGCCCTTGGCGATTCATAAAATGCACATCTGTGGCTGCCGGTTTTTGAGTCAAAAACATATACAGAGAAGACCAAATCAATACCTGCGGCTCCTGATGATACATTGAGGTCCTATGAAGTGAAACAATTGGTCTGTGCAAGAAAATTAGCATTATTTACAACATTATTAACTTTAATCCACAACCTGGCAACTGGTTCTTATTGCAATAACGACTGTCTGGAGTGCAAACTTTCTCACATAATGAAGTAAGCGTGGGCGCAAACTCACACATAAACTGATGACGCTGTTTGTTTACAATGGAGAGTGAGGACGTGTGTGTTTGAGTTTCCGTCAAATGGTACTTACCTGTGCTTATCCTGGATGCTGGAACCAATTTTAAAAAAAGATTAAGTTCGCATGCGTGATCCCATTCGGGAAGTTTGACTTTTCACAGATTTCTGACGTCTAATCCAGATCGATTCTACCTCTGTTGTCATTGCATGACACTTAGAACAGAAACACCAACACGTCTCAAGAGTCCGAGATGGTCCTCACTGCAGAACTCGAGATCCAGGGGGCATGGTTGGATCCAGATCCAACTCCTCCCACCTTACATATACCTAAACCTACACGTCTCCACCCCCTGATCCCTAAACCCACCCATCTCCATCCCTAAACCTACCAATCTCCACCCCCAAGATGTGGATCCAACCCCGCCCCCTGGATCTTGTTCTGCAGTGAGGGGCTACTGAAGAGTCTTCGGTCTCACTGAGGCTTGTGGTGGTTGTGCCGCTGATGCCACTGCGTCATCCGTCTCTCCCAGTTCGTAGTCGGAATATTCTGGTTTAAACAAGTAGGGCTGTGCATAAAATTCCATGTCATTCCTCTTTCAGATCGAAATCATCAACCACTGTAAATTTTATGTAGTGAGATTTAGACACTGGTACTGCTGGTGAAGCTCTGCATACAAGTCCTCACTCTCCATTGTAAACAAACAGCATCATCAGCTTACTTGTGAGTATGCGAAGATCGCGCTCCAGACAGTCGTGAACATGCTGAGAACCGTTTGCCCAGGCTGTGGATTAAAGGTAATAATGTTGTAAATGAATAATGTTCAGTTTCTTGCACAGACCGATCGTTTCGCTTCATAGGACCCCAGTGTATTGTCAGGAGCCACGGGTATTGATTTGGTCCTCTCTGTGTTTTTTTTTGAGACTCAAAAACCGGCAGCCACAGATGTGCAGTGTATGAATCGCCAAGGACAGCAGTTTCACCTAAAAATCTCCTTTACTGTTCTACTGAGGGGAAAAAAAGTCACCTAGATTTTGGATGGCCTGAGGGTTAGTAAATTAACAGCAAATTTTCATTTTTGGGTGAACTATCCCTTTCAGAAGGCTTTATTGTCAAAAGTCCATTGGCATGTATTTTTTCCGAAGCGATGCATCACTTACAAGTATTTCCCTTATTAGATATGACCCCCGATTCAACACGTGGATCCAC